GAGTACCTTGAATGGCTACGTGACTTATATCCTTTAGCAGTTGTCTAGGGAAGGGGACCGGATGAAGGCTGGAAAGGAGGAGAGCAAAAAAAAAGTAAAAGCAAGGAAGAAAGTGAAAGCAAGAAAAGTAAGCGAAAAACCCATCATCGGTATGGGACATCCTCACCTATCAGGTGAAGCTGATGCTACTGAAGGCTCTCAGTTTTGCCTAAGCATCAGCTTCCCAAAGACGGAAGCTGTAAGCAAGCGAAAAACCTGTTATCAGCAAAGGACTTTCTCATTTATAAAGCTGATTTTTAGGTAAATCTCAAAGCTCTCAGCTTCACCTAAGCACCGGCTTTCGATCTTTCAGCTTTACCTAAACATCAGCTTCATAAATGAAGAAGTCATTTGCTAATAACAGGTTTTTCGTCTGCTTACAGCTTCCGTATTTATGAAGCTGGTGCTTAGGTAATGCTGAGAACTCTCAACTTTACCTAAGCATCAGCTGCACCTTATTGGCTTTTAACTTTCTTTGCCTAAGCATCAGCTTTATAGATGGGCATGTAAAAGTTTTGGCGAAAAAACTAGTAACTCGGGAACCAGAAAAGCTGGTGGTTTTCCGCTTGCTTTTCTTACTTCTACTTTCTTTTTTATGCGTTTTTGCACATATGCAAATGCGAAAACGCATATTGTGATGACCCCGGTGTGCGTGTGTGTGTGTGTGTGTGTGTGTGAATGTGTGTGTGTGTGTGTGTGTGCGTGAGTGTGTGTGTGCGTCTGTCCGGGTATTTCAACTCGGCACCCAAGCAAGCTCCGGAGCCAAAATTTTGCAGGTGGGTTCCCCGGTCAATTATCACCCCAGGACCGCGGTACCAACCCTCTAGCAAGTCTAGGCCCTGCGTACGAGCGCCTCAAAGTTTTGGCGGGAAATCGCTAACTCGAGAACCAGGAAAGCTAGAAAGCTGAAATTTTGGGATTATGTTTCCAGTTCAAGTAGAACTCAAAGATTTCAAATTCAGCCCCCGGGGGTTCGTGGTTCCCGCGTACGGCCCCCTGAGGGTTCCTAGCGCGAAAATCGCTAGCTCGGGAACCAAAAAAGCGGGGAGGCTGAAAGTCTCAGGAAATGTTCCCAACTCATCTACAACTTCAATTTAATTCAGCCCTCCGCCATGCGTGGGTGTCACGTAGGGCCCCGTGAAAATTTTTGGCGGGAAAATGAATAACTCCAGAACCAGGGAAGCTAGGAGGCTGAAATTTTCAGGAAATTTTCCCAACTCATCTACAACTTAAATTTATCAAATTCAGTTCCCCGCCATGCGTGGTTGCCACGTACGGCCGCGTGGAAGTTTTCGGCGGGAAAATGGATATCTCCAGAACCAGGGAAGCTAGGAGGCTGAAACTTCCAGGAAATGTTCCTAACTCATCTACAACTTAAATTTATCAAATTCAGCCCCCCAATGTGCGTGCTTGCCACGCACGGCCCCGTGAGAATTTTTGGCGGGAAAATGAATAACTCCAGGACCAGAGAAGCTGGGAGGCTGAAATTTTCAGGAAATGTTCCCGACTCATCTACAACTTCAATTTATCAAATTCAGCCCTCCGCCATGCGTTCTTGCCACGTACGGCTCCGTGAGTTTTTGGCGGGAAAATGAATAGCTCCGGAACCAGAGAAGCTAGGAGGCTGAAACTTTCAGGAAATAGTCCTAACTCCTCTACAACTTCAATTTATCAAATTCAGCCCCCCATTATGCGTGGTGGCTACGCACGGCCCCGTGAAATTTTTTGGCTGCAATTTGGATAACTCGGGAACTGAGAAAGCTGAGAACCTGGAATTTCAAGGGAATGTTCTCTATCCATGTATAGCGTGGATAATCCTCTTCCCGATACTCGGGCCAGTATGTACAAGAGGTTTCTAGCGAGCGGACTTTCGAGTGATCTTATTACAGCACGAAACACTGCAAAAACGCATGATCGCACGGGCCCGCCGGTGCGCGTCGCCAATGATTTTACTTTTTATGCGTTTTTTACGTCTATACAATACAGAAAACGCATGTTGACGAAGGGTTGTCTCTGTGTATGCGCTGTGCGTCTCTACCGATATTTCATATCGAGACCTACAAAAGCTACAGGGCTGGAACTTTGGGAACTTAATCTGCATGCGTGTACGAGCTCCCATCTCCAAAATGGGCGCTTTTGCCCGCATGTTACCCACGTACAGGCCCGCCAAAAGTTTCTTAGGGTAAGTTGGTAACTCGGGAACCTGAAAAGCTAGAATTTTGAGGGGATGTTCCACGTCCACACAGGTATTAATGTGTTCAAAGCCAGCTTCCGAGTATGCGTGGTCCCCACGTATGGGCCCGTGAAAGTTTTTGTCGAGTGTGTTGCTAAGTCGGGAACCTGAGAAAACAGAAGACTGGAATTTTAAGGGGATTTTCCATGTCCACGTAGGTATAATGAGTTCAAACCCAGCCTCGGGGCATACATGATTCCCACGTACGGGCCCGTGAAGTTTTTTTGCGGGTAGGTTGCTAACTCGGAAACCAGGAAAGCTAGAAAGCTGAAATTTTAAAGAGATGCTTCCTGACAACCCGGTGATCTATCTCAATTTTTATAGCTGGAAGCATCTGGCGGAAAAATCAATGACGTTAGCG